GCTGCCAGCGCTGCCGAGGCCCTGCGGCCACAAGCGTGGGTGCTTTAAAAAGCTGCTTCCCCACAAATGCCATCTGTATCGATGCACTTACTCATTCTGTGTTTTATTTTACTCCCTCTCAGTTTGTCCTGTACATCCAGTGACAGCAACCTCCTAGAACAGCTCCAAAGTCTGCCATCAGCCCAGAGAGCTGCCTTCCAACTTCATGGTGCCAACAGTTTTAATAACATTGCTGCCAACTCTCCCTTCCCTGTCTCACCTTTGAGACACTATAAAGCCCCATGGATTGGTCCTATAATCTTTTTTAACATATCTCCCACGAAGTATCAGCCCCAAGCGCCTCCTTGTCTCTCCTGTCTACTCTCCACCAGCAGCCACAAGCCAAGACTGGTGAGGGTCCCAGGGGCATCAGAGGAGGGCCGTCCATCGAAATACTTCTCCAGCCCCACAATTCCCAGGCTTAGCAATGCCCTTCATCTGAAAAACGCCCTCAGTCTCCATGAGATGGCACCTGGCTTTTTTTTCATGGGTTGTCATACAGCTGACCTGGCTGGTGGTGAGGTTCTGTGTCCTGTGGCATTTGGAGAAAGATCTGCAGTTAGCCCTGGAAATACTGCTCATGTCTAGGCCAAACAAAGGATACAAACAGGGACCCTGCCAAGCACTGGATTCAGTGCATGCCTCATAGAGGTGAGCAGGATTATGGCCCAAGTCACTGGTATCACCCCAGCTGCTGTTACAAGTGAAAATGGCACTTAGAACTACTCAGTTCACGCACTGACTGGCGGGAATGCCTGAATTTCTTCAGGCTGAAGAAGCCTGATGGGTACCAGATCAGTCAAACCCATATGCCAGTATCTATGCTACCTGCTTACCAATTGTCTTTCTCAAGGGTATCCAAGCTGCAAGCAGCTCAGGAAGGGGTCCACTGGCACCACCAAGCTTCTCTACAAGCCCATATTGGCTTAGTACTCTGGGATACACAGGAGTCATTTTTTATGCTGTCTGGCTGCTGTCAAATCTAGCTTTATAGGCACCAGAAGCTCATCCAGGATAAGTGCTATGGTCCCCTCAGAACCCACTCAGCCTGTTTCCATCAGGCAAGACATTAACCCAACTTCTCAGCCCATTCATTTACAGTGTGTCAGTGATGATGCTTCTTTAGCTGTCTACCATGACACACTGCAGTAATGAATGTTGCAAGCAATGCACCTTGCAGCACTGTTCACAAGACACTAAGTACTGCTAACTCCAACTACACCTAAGCCCCTCTTTGAAATAGCTCTCAGGATAATGGCTCAGCATCCCTGAAGCATGTCGGCTCAGGTCATAAGCTCCCCTTGCCCTAGCCAATTTCTAACCTCTCAGAACAGGACAATTCGCCTGTTCAGGACCTCCAGTCTGAAAATACCAGCAATGAACAAAAACACAGAAGGAAGCTTTCAGGCACTACGAAGGCTAAAAGCGAGGGTGTTTTCACTGAATGATTCTTCTTCACCTTTCTGGTCTAACACAACCAGCACACAAGAACCTAGGCTCTCAAAGGTTTGCCTGATGCACAGCAACTGTGAGAACAAAGGATGAGTGTGGTGAAAACACAGAGACAAAATTTCTCTGCAACACAAGTCTCCCCAAATGGGAAAAGAGTAGTCCAGGAGTGGAAACCCTGGAGATGGCAAAGAGTGTGTTCGCATTTCTCTGAGGAAACAGAATGCCTCAAAGCAACCCAGGGTGAACACAGTGGGAGATGAAAACAGTTAAATATCGTAAACTTAACAAAATACTGATGAGATGGAATAAACAGAAAAGAGGTGGTTTGAAAATGCTTTTTGTTCACAGTCTTGGGAAAGTAAGAGATCTACATTGCTTTTTGAATTATTACAGTGTCACCTGTTTTGCCTAAGTAATGAATGCTCATTTTCCAGTTTATAAAATTCACAATGATTCACAAAACATGTCTAACAACGACGCATTCCCTTTGTCTGGCTGGAAAGTTATCTTGGGTTGGGTCCCAGCAATAACATACATCCCAAAGAAAGATCATCTGTGCTTCTGCAGATTCATTATAAATGCCAAAACAGATAGAATGTAACTGGAGTTCCAGTAAATTTATAGGCTTTCCCCTCTCTTCAGAAAGACTGTCTAACACCTAGCCTAAACTTACCTTTCTGCTATTTAAACCCTTACATGTACTATTTTCCCTACATATAAAACCAGATTCTTTATCAGCAGAAACTTTTGAAAGTGTTTCCCTCCTCAATCTTCTCTTACTAACTACACATCCTCCTATTTAAGCCAGGTTTTTTAGACTTTCATTGTTCTTCCTTTTGTCTGGATTATCTGTAATTAATTCACCTCTTTGCTGTAGGACAGTGCCCAGAATTGCATGTAGGATTCCCGAGGAGGCCTTTGTAATACCATCAGAATGAAAAGATCATTCCACCACCTGCTCAATTCAGACATATGGCGTGGAAGCACCCCTGGTGAGGCATCATGCATTCATGAAAGCAGAAAGGCCATTCACAACAAACCGCAAACACAGACTGCTCAAAAACTGCTGTTAGAAACCATGCAGTGTTCCATGTGAATTAACAACTTACACAGAGCAGGCAGGTCTAATGACTCCTGGGAACAGCAGACTAACTACTATCTACTAATTATGCTAACTGCTTCATAGATCAGGAACATCAACAAACTCAAAAGTGTTCAATGTTGTGTACGGCCAGCAACTATATATTTTTCAAAGTCAGAGCACGAAATGTACTCAAATAGCCCTATCAAATAGAAGTTAGCAAATGTGTCAGAGAATCTTACAGGCTGGTCAGTGGGGTAAAAAAGTAATGCTAAAATCAGGTGTAAAATCATTGACTGCAATTGAAATCACAGACAGCATATTTAAGTAACTAAGTACTAGCAGAGTACCTGTAGCGTAATGGACTAGTAATGGAGCTAATTCAGACAGGGGTGGTACTGTACAGTGGGTATGAAGATGGTGAGACATCTCAGTGTAGCCTCGGGATACAGTGTGTGAACTGAACACAGCATTGCATTAGTAACTTTGGGTTGGGTGTATGCTCAATGCATGCATAAAATGTTTCATCACATGGAGAGTGGTGCTCTTGGGTTTGCTGATCAGGTAGATTGCACTTGTACCAACACACCAAGCAGCCAATGTGAACTCCAGTACTGAGCTGTGCAAATGCACGTGGACTGTATGAATACTGTCTTTGCTTCAGATCTAGGCTTTTTAGACTCTGGAGCCACCAATGACAACCAAGGGAAAGGTGAGGCATACTCCAGAAGGCGCAGACAACAAGCTCAAAAAGCATCTTGAGTCTTTTGAACATCTGTCAGGTTCTTTCGCCTAATACAACAAGTGTAGAGTCCCAAAGCCTGCTCCATCAGTTCACAGGTGTAAATCAACTACTTGCCAACAGCAGGCCTCCAAGGGTGCAAACACAGCACCGGCATTTCTCACACAACCACACAAACTTCAAAACAGCTCCAGCAAAACGACATGCCATTACAATTACCAATTTCCAAGCCATCAAACTTTGCAAGATTGCAGATGAAGGCAGCATATGCTCTTAGACACAGAGGAAAACTCTCACTGTTTTCAGGAATTTGGAAAAGTGCTTGTCTCACCCTAATGACCTGCACCATTCAGACTTTCAGGCTCGGAAGCAGTCCTGCACAGAAGGAAACTTCTGCTTGGAAGTTTATGCTACATCATCACACTGATTCCTTCATCTGCATTCTTCACCTTCTCTGTAGTGGCAGCAAAGAAGAAATTAATTAGTACAGAAATTAATTAGTATGGAAAAAATATTAGTATCTTGGACGTTAACATAACTTCTCTCCCAATAAGTACACTTAAGAGTCTCACCTCAGCATACTAACATACAGGACCATGTGAACTAGCAGTTTGCATTAGATTAGCAGTTTGTTAGTGTATTGTTGCCTGTTCTATTCATACAGGCTCTGCCATACCCTGTGTACAGTCCAGAGAGACACTTCTCAGACTTCCAGGAGGACTCCTTGCTGCTTAGCTCAGACCATCTCCAGAACTACACTAGAATTAGACTAAGAAGGTGCAAAATGTCTTACATGCTTAAACAGCTTGTTTACTCAGAATATTTGTAGGCATTTTCTTTCTCCCATCCTAATACTATGTATATGCTGCATGTCTCAACTCATGGTTCCCTTTCTGTCCAGTCTCCTTTACCCATGCAGACAGCATGCTGGCAGAATTTCTTAGCTCAGCTTGTTTATTACTAGAAAGACTATATAGCTATGTGTAGTGGAAAAAATCCTTCTGCTGGCACTTTGTAAAGCTTTAATACTGTGTTTAACAATCTTATGGGACTATGGCAAGCAAACTCAAATCCAGGTAGCAGATTCTGGAATACAATCATGTCTACACCTCCTCTAAATATTTCTAAGGCCAAAAATAAAGTAGGCTCTGAAATAGGCTAAAACCACTGTTTTCAGAGGACTTTAAGCACCAGTCCACATGCTTATAGGACATTGCTTCCTTCTGTCTCCAGGGTCCAGCCATCCTTGAAAGTTTCTTAGAAGCATACATGAAAATGAGCTATCAAAAAGAGAGAAAGGAATACATTGAATTTAGCAACTGGTTTGTGGGGTGGAGTGAGGAGGGGAGCAGAGAATTCAGAAAAGTGTTATCATTGCTAAAGAACAGCAAGCAGACTTCTAAGCATGTGAAGTGTAAAACCTCCTGTGAAAGTTAAGCCCCACAAATGCACTCTCCCAAACAAGGCACTTTCAACTATTCAACTCTTATAATGTTAAGGAAGGGGGAAAAGTCCACCAACAATGCATGTCTCTGACACTAAATTCAGAAATATTGAAGACTGCTTCCATGTTTCCCAAGTAATAAAAATGCTAGTTAAAGAAGAAGGGACGAGTACCCAGTATTAGCTCTGAGTAATAGCTATGAGATAAAAATCCCCCTCAAATTAGGGAAAGCTCACAAGAACAAAAGTAAACATTGTTTTATTGATAAATGGCTTTTTTAATATTTTCACCCAAATATTCTAGCATTACAATGGTAAACAAAGTGCAGATTTTCAGAAAGTCACTGAAATCAACAGAATCCAAACTTGTTAAACAAACCCTTTTCACAGAACACAGATTTTTTAATTTTATCACCTTTATGTCTCCAAGGCCATATAGTAGTTATGTTTCTCTTCAAAGCCTGTTAACTTATTTTATTGCTAAGAAATCCGAGCTGCTACATTTAAGAAGTGGTGATTAACCATCCTTTGAAAATTCCACAAGACTTTGAGAGACAAAATCATGAATCCATATATCAGTATCCGGAAGAGATGTGTCCACGAGAAAAGTCACTATTTTTCGATCCCAAGAGTAAGTGCTTTCAGTAACTGCCTCTATCCGTGCCACCAAGGGTTTCTTCTCTACAAGATTCCGAAACACTATTGATGCCTCTTCTGACCACTGCTGGCTTTTCACTCCTAGGACAAATGCAAAGCAAAATAGAAGGTCATTTATAGACTAGACCAATCTGAATGATTAAGTTTGTAAAGAAGTGTGGGGAGTTTAAATACTTGAGAAAACAGGTGTTCAAGTACTACCGTATGCAGCTTAACTCTAGAAAAGGAACACAAGCTCACTCATCTCCCACACAAACAAGCTTAATTATTACAGAGACTAGGACATTTATTTTTTCTTGAAGTCTAAAGATGTGGAAAGGTTGGCAGAAGTGAAAGGCAAATGCATTGACTCATTGAGTTATTCAAAGTATATCAGCCGCCATGGATGATCAAGGCATGATAGGAAACATGACAAAAAGGAAACTAAAGATCCTTTCAAAACACTATTTCTTTGTCTTCTGCCTGAGGCTGCTTAAATTATTTGTCCCGCTGGCCTTGCTTTATACTGAATTTTCTTCACCTCAAAGCAGCATTAGCTACTAGAACACCTCCCAAACTAGATCTGCAGAGAGCAGAAACAAAGAGAAATGCCACCTAAATGCCTCACAACTTCCACTATTTTTTTGAGAGCAGCATCCCACAAAGTCAAGTCTGCTGATGGATGTGATGCTAGAACCCAGACAGGTTTTTGAACATGGCTATAACCCACCAAGAAAGAAGTGGCTCCTGTAGACTTGGAATTCAGTCTCCCCAGACCACTGCTGGTGTACAGCATCTAGACACAAGGGGCTCAAATATCGTGTATGAATACCCAAGCAACAACTTATGGGTAAAACAAGCAAAACAGCAAAGTGACAACACTTTGCTTTTACTACTAGCAGCAGGTTGCTGCTGACAGGTCAGGACAACATAGGAACGCAGGTCCTTACAGGTTACAGGAGAAGTTAACAATCCATCAGCAGTTAAGAAGGGTAATTAATGCTAGGAAAGGCTGGTGGGGAAGCAAATAGGATTTTACAAGAAAATAGACCAGAGACAGAGGTAGCAGAGAGAGAAAAATAGCAAGACAATAGTTACTAGTCCTCCCAGCTCAGCTGGCCTGATCTGACAATATGAAGCAGCTCACAGGCCAACTTAACTAGCTACTTGGGATTCTGTGAAGCAGGAAAATTGTATGACTTGCGGACTTGCTCAGCTGGATCCTGTATTACCCCAGTAGACAGACATAGATAAAAATCAGCTTCACTTCAGCACTGCCCTCCACTGCCCCAGCCTGTCACTAACACAAGCAACCTCCAAGGTCACACCGAGGCTTTGTGGGAAAGCAGATCCACAGAAGGCAACTTAGGATCAGACCACCAACTCTGCGGACTGTCACTTCAGACAAGCATATTCTGTAACTGAAGTATACACTAGTGCTGACCAAACTGTGGCAGAAAGTAGCAGCTGAATAAGAAGAGATGCATACACCTGAAAGCAATGCAGAAGTGAAAGAAAAATTCGGAAAAGAAAGAGAAAACAGCAAGGAGAGATCAAGTTGTTTTTTTTTTTTTTCATTCTATGATCAAATGTATGCACACCCTTTATGCCCCATATTTTCAAGGAATTTAATCTTAAGACTGCTGAAGACACACCCCCCCCCGCCTTGTGGAGTTTGTTTGTTTTAAGAACACCAATATGCACACACACACACCCCCCCCCTTGAGGAGTTTGGTTGGTTGGTTGGTTTAAGAACACCAATATGTTTCAGGCAACTGTGGATTCCAAATATGCACCAGAAAACAGTAAATTATAATAGGAGCAAGAAATATAAGAAAAACTTCCCCAGAAACTCAGCATTTAGTTCCCAGCTTTATGCAGATCAGCATAGTCAGATCATAAACCCTTATCAATAGAAAAATCAGAACTTTCACACTTCATAATGGGCTATGTTTAAGGATCCAAAACCGATTTGGGTTTGATTTCCTTATGTCCTTTACATATTAGACATCACACACATTAAATGATAAGTATTTTTGACAATGAAAAGCAGCTGCTGGGAGAGTTTAAGCAAGCTTCAGTTTTATACATAGTAACTGTAAGTGCTGCATTAAAATAAAACAGAACCATCACCACCTATGTCAAGAAGAAGAGCAGAGCTACTTTGACAACATAAGCATGCATGTATTGTTTTTGCAAGCAGGTACATGCTCACTTTATTAAAAAACAATCACATCACTAACCTTTGGCTTTGTCCACTTTACATTTCTATTCATTTGGTATCCCCACTAATTTGTAAATGTTTACTACCTACCTGCAAGCTGAGCTGTTATAGCTTGGAAAGGTAGTTTTCTGAATGTATCCATGAGTGGCTGTACTTTCTCTATGCTGACAAATTCATGTTTACCATAGTCAAGCTCATATACTGACAAAAACCCATTTCTAAGAATTCCTTTTATTATGACCCTGTACCACCTAAAAAGGGGAAGAAAAAGCATAGTCAATCTGATTTTGTATTCACATGCTGTCAAGGCACCAGAAAAATAATACATGACTAAAGATCTTAAGCAACCCATCTCAGGCTTCCCAGATCTCGTATCACCTGAATAGAAGTCAACTCTTCCAACTACAATCCGGAAGCATGAAGAGACTGCAACCTCATTTACTCCTTTAATCTCTCCGACATCACTGGACATCTGCCACCTTGTTAACAATGCAGACAAAGCACAGCTAGGCTTGCCTAGCTTAGCAGAGATAAACTTACCTTCAAAGATTTGTACAATACAAAGTATGTACTTACTGATTTTCAATTTTAGCTGCATACAGCTTGTTTTTTTCAATGTTCACAGGTTTCTCTTCTGCCCTGCTGTAGTACAAGATCATTTCCTCCATTAGGGCTTCCAGATTATGTAGCTCTTTCCAAGGCTGGAGAATAAAGTGACCTGGATGGCAGGCGACCGAGACATAGACGTCCATGAGCTCACCAGTCTTTGACAAGGGTAGAGGTGGAGGCATATCAGTGGTAGACACTGCACTGCTAAGTTCTCTGGATGAATCAGAGAAACTCTTCTCTAGCCTTCCACTAGTTAACCGTAGAGCTGAAACAGCATCACTTGTCACTTTTGTGGAGGTAGTCCCACTGGGTGTAACGCTCAAAAAAACATCTTTCTGATGCTTCCACAAGTCTGCATTTTTGATCTTTTGATTGATGCTATGATCCATGTCTGGGAAATTCTCTGGAGCAAACAAGTAAACGTGTGCAATTGCCTTTGAAGCATCCTGTTTAACCACCTTGGAAAACAAAATAGAGTTTAACTTCCATTTAAGAACTATTAAAAGCACATCCGATCTTGTACAGGAGACTAAAACCTTTAACAGAAAAGCAGCAGAAGTTCACTGCATTCTATATGCACAGAAGTGTTCCATTTTCAAGGTTCTCTCAAATATGTTAATGAAGTTGTTGGATAGTAAGCAACTCAAGTGAGCAGCTAAAAAGAGCATTTGCAGTTACTCCACTAATGTAAAGCTTCCAGGTTTGTATCATGCGTAATTTTCAGCCACTGTCATAAAAATATTTCCTATTTAACATCAGATATGCTAGCATTATTGATAGTAAAGCACTGAAATTTTAATTTGACAAAGTACATAATATTTCTTCACAGATTTTTCTGCTGGTTTTCCTAGCCAGGAATAAAAACTTCCCACAATTAAAGTGGAAACTGTTATTTAATCAAGTGAAAATTAGTACCAAACTCAAACTATCTTGGAAGAGGATGTTTAGAAAAGCCAGATTCAACAGTCATAAGTGCCAGACTAGAGGAGCTATGTTTTAACTATACGGTCTCTGGTGTTAAAGCAAGCAAAAAAATAAAGGAAAGCTACAAAACACTTTTTCAAGTGCTGTGACAGTATCCAAAATCAAATTTTAAAGAGAAAATTAGCTTTATTTAGTCTGTAGCTAGTAATAGATTTCCTTTAGAGGGTGTTTTCAGTTAATTAAACTGGATAGGATACACTGCAAGTGGAAATAATTTTATCTCAAAAATAACAGAAGTTTTAAGTATACAATAGCATATACTAAATTACACTGGATTAGAAAAAGCAAAGAAAAAATAAAGCTGCTTTCTAAGGCCAGAAGGAGAATAAGTTGTGCTCATAAGAGGCATAAGATACTTCAAGATTAACTCAACAGTTGCATCTTTTTATGTGGTGAAACATTAGCAACTGTGCTTCTTTCTTATCAGTTGGTAAAATAACTCTAGCTGCATATTTGGACTGGGACAGCAAAATATGAAAGGCTAATGTGAAACCTGTTAAATTCTTGAGGGGAAAAGAGAAGCTTCCAACAGGCTTAAGCAAGTGTATTTTATGCCAAATTTCTTTAAAAAATGATTTTAAAAATAAAATTTATATCCAAGAGCTGGCTACAAACTTCTAAACTTCTTTAACAAAATCAGTTTGGTGACTGGTTAAGCTTCTAGAGTTGTTCTTTCAATGCTCTTTCCACACGCTTGTGGATTTCAAGTCACATAAGCATTTTGTCTATTTACCTTCATGCTAAATTCAGGACAGTTCATTACAGTGTCTCTCAGCCACAGTACAGCATCTGGCGTCCACATGCCTGTGTTAGGAGGCAGATCTGCTAGGCAGCATTTTATAGCCTAAGAACAGAATCAAGTATATTAAGAACAGAATCAAGTATATAAGGTGTAATTTACTAATATGGAGACTAGTCCACAAATTCCTATTCACAGAAACTTCATTGATGCTGACAGATTCAACAATGTATGACAGACAGAGGAACATGCAAAACTAGTACCATTACACATATACAACATTCTGTTGATAACATAAGACGACATTATGATTTATTTCAGGCAAAGATGCACAAAGAAATACACTCCAATGTTGAATGCTATTAAACAAAACAAAATTTCATTACATAATCCTTGAAGTATCAGCACTACAAACACTGCCAAGAGATCTAACATAGGTTAGCTGTAACATGTCTTTATACCTGAGGAGGTATTGCAATTACTTCTCTCAGGAATTGTGGTGGGATTTCTCTAAGCTCTGATACTTTTACAGTTGCAACTGTTCCAGTATCCAAGAACTGCACATCAAGTGCCCGTCTAGTGTGAATAATTCTTATCTGAAAGAAGAAAGCAAGTACATAATTTTGCGGTTAGAAACACAACAGTGACACATACACTACCACAAATTTCACAGAAACTAATGATTCAGGTTTAGCTGAACAAAAAGAACAGCCATTTCTATGTGGGAAAACCATGGATGTTTCTAAATACTTCTTACCTCTACACGTGCCCATTTTCCTTTGGAAGGAAACAAGCAGATTTTGCCACAGAAAGGCAGTGATACGTTAAACTCAGGTGTCTGCTGCAGATACAAAAGCAGAAGTTAAAAAGCACGGAGCTATTACGATTTGGCACTCAACCATTTCAAAAGCCACACATGTAACAAACAGTTCTGAGAAGCAAAAATCTATTTCAAACACAAAGTCTCTTTCCAGCCTCAGGAGCATTTCTTACCAGGTTGTTTTAAGCCTCCCCAGTTGGTAAAGCTTTAATTCCAAGCTGTGTATCTTACAGGGAAACTGAGATAATATAAAGTGCGAGGGGAAAAAAAGCCACATTTGGAAACAGAATATAAAATCACCTACGATTACTTTAATGTTCTGAAAAGGAAGAGCTGTGACAGACAACTGAAGAAGCTCCTGCCTTCATGTTCTAGAACACATAATTTGATGAGATACATAACAAACCAAATTTACTACTTCCCTCAAATGAAAGCCTCAGGGGGGTGACATTCACCATGATGATCCTAAATAACAAGACAGTGGCTACACTATAAAAAGCATGAAGAAACTCCATTTGAAGACCCATCAACACCTCAGTTTGTTTAGATTCTCAGGCAAAATAAAAACTCTCAAGACAAGCTGCAAAGCCAGGATTGCTTCTTTTACCCCTCATATACAGATTGATATTAAAAGATTCTGAATGTCAGGGTCTCTTTGATAGCTACAGCAACCTATCATACACTCTGTCCAGAAAATCTGAACTTCTGAAATACCTGTCAGGCTGCCTGGCTTTGTGTTGCTAAACCTTTCAGGGTTCTATACACTTTCCTCCAGTGTTTAGCTCACTTGAAACTGAATCTTGGTAACTGAGACATGTTCCATATAAAGTATTTCCAGATAGTGTGTGCTCCACAACAGGTCTAGAGTTCAACTTCTACACCTATAAACACTTTGACAGAGTAGTTTCACAAGCAGCAGTTCTAACAGGACCTTCAAGGATCTGCATTTCATGGTTTGATTCTCTAAGGCTCAGCTGATTGTTGAACAAATTAGATTCTCTAAAGATTTCTTCTCTTTTGTATAAATTCTCTTAAGTCTAATAAGGGTTGTTGGATGTGTCTGTAAATGGCCAGTGGAATGTCAGACTTCTCTGCCACATGCCTATTTTAAGGCAACATAAGACTTTTGAAAATGCCTCCTGTATATCAGTTCTAGTTGAAATTAGCCAAATTATTCAAAAGCTAAGGGTACAAGGACAAGATACGTAGCAGATCAGACCAAAGCCATAGAATCTCCAAGGAAGCAAAGCTAAAAAGAACAGACCTTGCTTACATGACTTTTATTGTCACTCTGCATGGTGTGCTGTGGGCCAGGCTGTTTACACACCTGAACTTCTGGGAATACAATGGAAGATTGGTGAGGAGGATTGTAAACATGCTAAGTCACCTGTGGCTGGGGGTTTCGAAAAACACATCACACTAATTGTTGTTTAGCCCTGTGTGTTTGATGGGTAGAATGTCTGTGTTTAGATAACAGGCCCGCGAGAAACTCAGAGGCACCTTACTGAACATCCTTGAGATCCCTGCCCTGCTGTGGGAAAGATCAAAGCAGTGGAAAAGTATGCCTACGAAAAACCTGGATATATACACACAAAAGCAGGAGGCCCGAGATCTTTTTTTTTTCCCTTCTCCTTTCCCTGACTAGCCAAAACCAAGCTCTGTAGTGTCTGCATCTCTGCTTGCATGTCTCTGCCTGGGTGTTGCTGTGGAGAGCTCTCGTGTCATGAGATAACAGGAATGAATTTACTCTGCATTTCATCCATACTTTTTGTGGTTATTCCTGCATCCTGCCCGTGCCAGCTCACACAGAACGCCATCACACAAGTAAAACTTCCAAAAAAAATATGGCAGTATCTCAACAGGCTTTATACCAATCTGATGCAGTTTTCATTGGAAGCTTCCCATTATGAGCCATATTGTTACTGTTCTAACTATCCAAGGAAAGTTATAGGTAGTTACTGAAGCCTTAGAGACAGCTTGTGAGCAAGAAAGCATCAAGACCCTTTTCACGCTGAAGGATGCACCCCCCCAAAAAATAGGAAGAGAATTTATAGCCTTTTTGAATAGTCTATGGCTACCTCAGAAACTTGAACTTACGTGCAAGAAAAATGATAGGTACACTCTGAAGAAATGTTACATGACTTTGCCACTTCTCTCACCATAGAACCTACCTTGTAATGGAAGTAGTCTTCTAGTTTCTGCAAGATTTCCGAAAGTCTTGACAAGCCTTTAGATGGCACTTGGCAATACAGGCTTCCATCAGAGAAAACACTGGTTACTCTGACATTTGTATATAGTGCATCTGCCTGCGGGGGGGGGGGGAACCACACACACAAACTTAACAAATTTCTGAGTACTCTTTTTTGTCCATCCAAGACCTTAGCAGTCAATGATCTTTAATGAACTAAGAAGGAAACAGCAAAATGGTACCTGTAAGTGCAGTTCAAGGGACTTGTCATACAATGCCTTCAGACAGGTAGCATTGATGTTGATATCATCTTCTCCAGAAGTGTCATAGAGAACAAGAAGAGGAATATCACTCTTTTCCAATATTTCCACAGCAAATATCTTGGAGCATGTCTGTGATTCCACAGCCTTTACTAGGACAGGATCATCACAGAAGACTTCCAGTCCTGTAAGACAAACCATACTTTTTATGTATCACCGTATTCAAAGGGAAAAGTAACAACCAGGTCTGTGTTTGCAACAGGAATCTTTCAGAGAATCAGGATGTAGCAGCCCTACTTGCATTCTGTTTAATTTTTACCTTTTTTAACACGGAATGCCATCTTAGGGGGTGGGGTGGGCAGAAAATAAAAAGATCCTCTTCAGAAAGAGTCAAGGCAAATGTGTAGAGAAAAAAGGAATGCACCCAAGTATTAAAAAAACAACCAACCAAAAGTGCTTATGCATGGCAATTTTATATATTTAAAATAAAATATTTAGAAGTTAGAAATGCCTACCAGCTTTAGGAAGGTGAATAATTCCCAACAGAGCTTAGGAAGTCTGCAAGTATGCAAGCACTGAAAAGGGAAGGATCACTTTACAATAGCTAAATAAGATCACATTTAGGAATACTGCCTCACCTGACCACAACAAATGTGCCTCATTTGTGGAAAAAGGACTTGTGCTAACATATTGCTTCACACAGCAGCAAACATTTCCTTATATTTCTTTAGGCTTGCATATATTAAGCCAACAAAGACATCCAAGATAAGTGCAAAGACAACTAAGCTCCATACAGTATCAAGGTCTGGATATCAAGGTCTTCTAATATCGAAGTTTCTTTATAAAGTCTCCCTCCCATCCTTCCTTCTTTCCATGTCTACCAGTGTCTGCTGAGGTTAGCTATCTTGGATAAAATCTAACATACATAGAGTTATTGCAAACAAGGATCAAAACTCCCAAACTGAGACGCTTCAATCCATAAATCGCGAACAGCAAGATGTATAGTCAACACTGGTTTTCTCTTACCTGCCAGTTTACATTTTGCAGCTTGAAACGGAAGTGAATGAAACTGTTTCTGTAGTTTGTACACACTGTTGCTTTCAACAAACTCACTGAAGCCATGATCAACATAGCATACCTGATAATGGAAAAGGGAATAAAAGCATAAGATCATGAATAGAATTGTCAATATGTTTTCTTGAGTCTAGGGAAAATATATTCAGTTACCACATTCTCTGTGCAGCCCCAGACAAATCACTTTTCAGTAACTGAGTACTATATAATGCCATTTATTTCACTGCTTGAATGTTTAGATACCTTCTCGAGATCTCTGTAAAACCTTCCTCTCCAACTGTTCCACAGAATCTCACTCTTAACAGGAACAGTGCTGGAAGGACTCGGCACATATTACCCAAAACCACATGAAGAAAAAAGTAGCAATTTTTATCTGTAAAGTTTTGAAAGTGCTGTAAAGTCAAATACCACAAACTGTAAAGTTTTGAAGTGTTGGAAAGTCAAATACCACAAAAACAAATGCCTTTTGTTTATACAGCATTAAGAGAATAATTTTGATTTATGCTTATAGTAACTTTGATACCAATACCAGTCAGTGCAAGAGACTAGTAGGAAAACTGCTGATTGGCAGCAAGTAATTGGAGCCAAAGTGAGAGAAAGAAGGCTTTGACAGGACTTTTTACAGCTCTTGTTCTAAACTCTATCTGCACACCAAACATTGAAAAGAGAGTCTGAACACTGTATCAGAGGATAATCAGAAAATGCTGTGATAAAGCTGTAAGCTTATTTTGGATGATAGCTCTAGCTAGAGAGAAATTAGAGGCAAGCTTGCTACCAGTGTCCTTGCAACTAGTCTAAACCCAACAATCTTTCCCAACAAAACCGAGTTCTGACATCCCCCTCCAAGTTTCAGCTGAAGAGTATCACATTAACTTTCACAAAAACCTCAATGTTAACACATGTGTTATTTAAATGTTTAGGAAATGGATCAACTTTAGAAGTATGTTAGGTAGACCTTGGTAAAAAGTCACCCAACTAGGTGAGAAACAAAAAATAAAAAGATATCATTAATGTTTCACTAGGCAAGAAACAATTGAGATGTTTGAAACTTTTTTTACAGTTCTATCATATGTTCTAGCTTCACTGCCGATGGCAAGAAGAGTCTGCTTGGCCCAGGAAAAATTTAACAGAAGAGTTAAAATAATCTCAAAGGGATTTAACTAAAATGCATGCTACAAACAGTTCCCACAAAACTAGGTCTGCCTGGAAGGGAACACAAGTATATCCTTCTCATTGTCTTGCTATTTAGTGCACGTAATAGATATTTCAGTACAATATGATCTATGAGCAAGTCAATTTAATTTTTCCCTTTCCCTTTTTCTGTCCCACACCAAACAGTGCTACCACACCCATTCCTCCTAGACTGTCAATGGTACATTTTCAGTAAAAAACAAAACCCTCAAACTCAAACTATTTATGGGAAAAAAACCTAAAAGACCATTTAATTTTGGCAATCACGTAACTTCAAAGAAAGTCCTAATTTCTCATACAACTGAAAATAGAACTACTTCAGGGCAAGAAAGGAGAGAATGCTAGTGTAGCATATTTAGGAATCGACTATGTACCTAAAACCCGAAATTATTTCAAGCCTTCCTCAAGTGCTAAGAGAAGTAATTGCTTGCCTTTATTCTGTTGTCTTCTAGAGAAATTATCCGAGCACGCAACCAGGCATCTTCTTCAGCATGTACTGCAACAAGTTGCTCAACGCTCAGAGACTGAGCTAGGGACACTGTACTGTTCTGACTGTAGTATGCTTTCATGTCATCTTCCATTTGTTCTTGGGCAGAAGAATAATCTTTGCCTACATACCTACAGTATTTAACAAAAAAAACACCAAAAACCAAACCACACCACAAGAGTTAGGACGCAACTTCAAAAAACTGAATAAAACCCAACATTTTTATGCATATATGAATATGAGTAAATTATGTATATATAAATTTTCTAAGCACATCAGTAACCAAACTTTTTCCCCATTAACAGGGCTATAGAAAAGCAACTGACACGAAATTTAGTACTTTTATTGACAGCTAAATGTGGTCCAGCATGCTCAACTGTTTTTTTAGTAAGAGCTCTTACTTGATTATTACAATCATGTAGACCAGCTTGACCACAAGTGCAGAGTAGTATCTGGGACCAAGTATAAAAGAGAAGTAACATGCCATCTCTGATGTTAATCAGTCATTAAAAAACACCAGCTTACTCAGCTTTTCACTAAGGTTGATCAAAACCAACGCATCTAAAATAGCTTTACAAATCAGATGTCAAATCATGTGCTGTTTGCTCTCAGCCTTCAGAACAAACCTGATACTAGGCTGCTGATGTAATGGTTCATACTGAAGCAGTTTGTGTTGCATATTCTTTTATAAAGTATATAAATTTACTGAAAACTCGAGTGCTTCAGAAAGAAGTCAGACTAGAACAAACAAAAGGAAAACTTATTCCCTAATTTGTATTAACAGCTACTGTTTTAACTTGTTCATAGAGTGATTAATACTGATCATTTCTACCACACAGTATAGGTTTTCATCCTACAAAAATCCAGGTTTATTCTGATGGTCTGCTAATATGCCCAGGATTACTGCAGATACTGTACTATGACATACCACTCTAACTTTGTTATAAGGATTAAGTTAAATCTGATCACATTCCAAGGAACACTCATTTTTGCTAAAGACATCCTGCTACCTCACCATCCAGTTATATATTGCTTTTCAGAATGACAGCCCTTTTGTTTCTATGCAAGCACTCCTCTACTTCAACATGGACATGGAGTGGAGCAACAGTCATGTATGTGCTACCTAAAAGTTTCCTAACATTAGTTTCATAAATATACTTAACAGACAGTAGGAATATTTTAACAGAAATTAGAAGAATCTTTGAGAATTTCATGCCTCTCTGTTTCTGGTAATAGGTTAGCATCATACTGAAGATGTTTTTGGATGCCACAGTCAATTGAAAAATTATTTCTCAGATTTTTCAGAAAAGCACCCTGGAAAGCAATCTCAAAGAATTGTGTTAGAGACTAATCTATGTGCAAGTAGACAAACATTGCAAGTGCTCACTCAGCAACATTCTTAATTGCAACTGCAACCAATTCACATGTGAAGTAAAGCTTACTACTTCATTGTGAAAGGAACAGAGGGGTATGCTTCCATAGTGAAACATGCTATACTTTGTCTACTCAGAAAAATAAGCAGAAAACAGTATCTAAACTGTAGCACAGAAACTCGGAGTTGTTGAGGGTAAAAGGTGACAGTTAATTTTTTCTTATGAGAATTCAAATGTAGCACCTAGCTTATCAACTCTGCCTTCAATACTACTCTTTTAGATGTATAGTAGCAAATACCTAGCAGTGTTTTATCACCTCACATTCATTCTGATTTCCACAGAAATCTTACAGAACTGTACCATGTCTCAAAATTGAAATAGCACCAACCTTCCAGCTTTGTCTTAATTAGTACTGCAGTTGAAAGGTTTCAGCCAAACAACACTTAGCCTCATACCAAGAAAGTAAAGAGATATTGCTCCATCTTCAAGATAGCAAGAGGAATCTTGATTTTATTGATCCTGCAAAATCAACATGGCTGCTACACAGTTCTTGTGTAGATCTGGAGAAAATGACTGTTAGTACACACACGGGAAGGGTAATTCCATGCACTGTTTCCTTCCAATATGTCTACATGAATATTTTGTCAGGGCAAAAAACCTACTCCCTCCAGGGCTAGTTTCAAAGATAAATGACCTTGCCCATGAAGTACATAGACAACCCTAAGTAGTAATTTCTGTATCTAGGGCCAAGAAACCACTAATCATTACCAGGTACCTACACAGAGCTGGCAAATTAATATTGTCGAAGAACCATGGTCCAAAATTTGGGAACTACTGCTTTATAGAAACTTTAGCACAATAACCTTCATCAATGTCATACAATAGTTCAATCCACAGGACTTGAAGTATTTCCCCAAATAATCCTTAAAATAACAGATGAGAAAGCTAAAATTTTTTACTCCACATATCAGCAAGTCATCAATGCTGCCAGGATTAAAAGGTGTATAGTGAGAAGGAAGTTAAGTCCCACCTGCGTAGCAAGCTGAAAGGAAGAAAGAGATAATTTGTTCCTGTTCTTCCCAGTATGTATTACATATAATATGTAATATGCATCGTGTCTAACTGTTTCAGTATCTCGATGTACAGATGATTACATATCTTAAGTTGGCTGTCTTTCCTGGCACTATTCATTTTCATTATCTTTCATGTCTTAGACTAAATTAAACAGGGCTTTCACAGTAACAGACTAAAACATAAAGCCTCTTTTTTCTTTGATGTAGTTCTTGCTCTTGTGATTTCTTTTTTTTTTTTTTTAAGTTTAGGCTCACTCACAAATTCCAGCTGTGTCTTCTTTGCTAAAATAATTGACTCATTCAGTTGGGAATAGGATAAATGTTAATGATGAATTAAGAATCTTGTCTTAAATTATGCTTTTTGGTAAGACTAGTATACAAAAGAAATGTATAAGCGCTGTACAAAAAACCTTATCTGAGAAAAAGTACAATATAGGAATGTTGCTAGCAGCTAAAACAAAGATGGCAACATTCTCAAATGAGAATTTCTCTCATAATCCCCAAGTATGGGAATTTTCACTACAGACTATCAGACATTAAGATTCCAGTACTTCAAGGAATCCAAACAGTGAACTGACACAAGGTTGAGTATTCCAATACATTACTGATAGCCAGAGAAAAAGGATATCTGAATTTCAGTCTTAAGGCTACTGTGTTAAATATTGCCAACCAGCAATGAGGAACAGGGTATTAGATTCATAGTGAACGGACCTCTAAGTGAACTGCACACATACTTATTCTCATCCTAATCAGGACCTTTGAGAATGACTGAAAGCAGAAACTGCAGAAACTAGTAGGGAAAAAACAGAGCTGTCAATATAGTATATTACCACACAGTTGCCCAATTAATCTTCTGAAGTGACATATTAAACTTTTTAAGATTAGGCTCAATTTGAAATAATTTTCAAAATTAAATATCCTCTACAAAAAATGTTTGGGTTTTTTTGTTTGGTTCATTCTTTTTTTAAGTTTTAAAGAACTGCTAGGATTTATGTGTTTTATCCCAACAATGCGGTATGGAAAGCTTATCATTAGTATTTCCTGAAACAGTACAATAACATATACACAAGATAGCCACTACAGTCCACTTCTTACAATGTCCTCTAAGGCAACCAAACCAAGAAGCACTGCTAGTTTATTGCTGGATGGAAGCTCATCTGTCCCCAAAAGTGAAAACTGCAGTGTAATCTGAACACAATCAAGTCATGCCTAGTTAGTAGTTTGTCACTTATAGAAGTAAAATATATTTTAATAAGTATTGCAGCAATATCTGAATACGACTATGTGTTATAGTGAGGTTATTTTAAAAAGTCTTCCAACAGCAGGTCAAATCTGCTTTGATTCTCAGACAAGCTAGTGATAGAACTGATCAGCTCAGCACAAAAAAAGTTTCAGAAAATTTCCATTTAAGCACACAAACAAAAGGATTCTTAAGTTGCATTATCAAAATAAGTAAATAACAAAGTCCTACAACCTCCTGTTCATCTGTTCTCTTATGGCAGACCTGTACCATACAAATACGTGGATTTATAAATAAAGCAAAACAGATAGATTCTGAAGTACAAACTTGCCTAATTAGGACCTCATTAGTGTTTTTCAGTTCTAACACCATGACGGACACAGATCCTTCTGATGGAATGATTAGAGGAGGAACAGTTATGTTCTCTGGATACTGGTCCTTGGATTCTTCATACTGTTGTTCAGCTGTGGCCTTCACACCATCATGCCTCTGGACTTTCTCAGTGACATTGAGATTTTCATCAGTGCGTCTTTGGGGTTTAGCATAAAGGATGGCCTTTCTGGGAGCTTCAGATACATAGTCCACTACACATACATCTGAGAGCAACTCTAGATGATTTAGAATGTCTTCTGGAAATTTTACTTGGTAAGTGTCTTGATACAATTTAGGAAGCGCATTAGCCCAAAGACCACTGGAATACTTCAGCAAGATGTTAACAACTTTCTGCTTGAAGTCACTAGTAAGTGATGTAGGTGTGGTCTCCTTATTTGTTTTTAACAAAGGGTCTGTTTTTGAAGAAGTAACATTCTGAGATGTTTTTTCTTGCTCTGTATCACTTTTTGCTATCGGTGGTATTTTCTTAGCAGGATAAAGAAGCCCATCCATCTGATCACCCCTGTGTACTTTCTCCACCTTGGAAAACAAAAAGTAGAGTAAATAATCAGTTGCAAGTCTAAGTCTAATTAATTTTGTCAATTACATTTTTGTAACATGCATTTTATACAGACTTTGAAGTGGACATCTACAGGGAACTAAACTTGAGGCAGTTACTACAGGGCAGTATTTCATGTAATGCTTCCTTCTCCATTCTGAAGGATACCAAATGCACACGACTACATCAGTATGGGCAAATATCTAATCTATGCAATACAACTTGGACTTGCTTCCAAAGAAGTATAATCTCTCTTTTCTCCTAGAAGGACACACTCAAGAAATGTAGGTCTTTTGCACATAACCCCCATCCTGATCTTCCACAGAGGTAAGCATACCATAAACAAAAGTTTCTGTCTCAGTTTACTGAGAGAAAGGGAATAAAGGGAATTTGATTGTACACTTCAAAAAGAGAAGACATGTGTCATGCTGTGTTGTAAGCGCTATCTGCTGTCATGCTCAGGTAATTATTTTTTCTTTAAAAAAGTTCTGAAGTTAATGAAAAAATTTCTGGATCATAATAAATTTTGTAATAAATTTGATTAGGCCATTTTAAACCATGTCCACAGCTTTTCTCCAGACCCAGCTGTTTTGCCAGTCCATATGTCTTCACCCTTTCCTAAGTAATGGTCTGAAACATGGCCTGAAGTCACAACCTTGAAAACACCAATTGAGAACTGTAGAAACTAACTCACATAAAATTCCATTTCCTAAGGCTATGCCATTTCAGCCTAGATCAACTTAACCAGAGCTTAGCTGGAATATCTATATAGAATTGAGATGACAAAAGCTCTCACTGCTTTCACATTCCTCCCAAAGCAAGAACAACTCCTGCAATAAAGGAAGTTATTAAGGTTTACTATCAAGGTGGAGATCTTCATGTTCCTTTCTCAGAGTAAACAACTCTCACCATTTTTCTGGGTCCACATCACCCAAAGCCCTTTTCAGAAAAAGATCAATGAACAAAACACTGAGTAGTTGAATCACTTGCTACGACTCAGGGGAAGCATTTACCTTATAAACCTTGCAGAAATCAGAATTTTATAATGTCCCAAGTGTCCATCCATGCAGAAGATTGAAGAATTTGCTTAAATGACCAGCCAAGGAAACTTTTAGCTCCAGAAAATATTTGGTATTATCAGGACAACAATCTGTTTTAGAAGGCTGTGTTGAAATGCATGAGAGTTCATCCTCAAAGAAGCTGGATGCAGAAGTCTACCTTTATGCACCCTGTCTTTTACTAACTCTTTTTATCTAGGGCTGCAACAGAGGTGAATAAATTTTACCTGATAGAACTGTTAAACCTTTACAGCCTGGCAGCAAACTAAAGAGAGAAGATCCTTAGAGACCTTTAAGCCTCTTAACTCCAATAATAGCTCTGAGGTTTTCTAGGCATTGAAGCTCTGTTTTGAAGAGAATGTAGATGCTGAGCAAACTATTTAGAGACAGAAAAATGTGATTCCAGTAAATTGCTTCAGCTTACTACAGTACAAATAATGTGTAAAAATTCCTCATGTGGAAATCATCAGGCTACTATTTCCTGCCTAGAAGTTAATGTTCAAGATACAACAGACTCCAGAGAGTGCTATGGCCAAGACACCTTCAAAGATGCACAACACTACACAAACTTTTAATTATATGCAAACAGCTTCACTTATGAGCAGCACTTCAAAACAGCCACCCTTTCTTTAGCATAAATTTCTCAGCTTGGTTTCCAGTTGAGTTTATAGATTTGCCTGCAAGGTACTTCCCATCAGCATGGCTTGCAGGCCTGCTTTGCAATCACAACATTCCTGTTGTCACTCCTCCATTAGAGAGAGCAAAGCAGTGTCAACAGCTGTCAGAATGTATTATCAGGACAACAGAGACTGACGTCATTCTACACAGAAGAAAAACATGTTTGTCCTGGGCCTGAATAACAGAGGGAGCTCTTAAAAATTAAAATCTGGAGCCTGAAATAATAAATCTTCAAAATAAAAACACTCACAAGATAAATACTGACACTGCAACTAGGTCAGTGGAATGTAAAAGAAGAGCAAGTCCACTCCCTCTGACACACACAGAAGGGATGAAGACAGACATTCTTCTGTATGTGTTGCTAGGACAAAAGCTTTGACAACATGCAAGTAAACCACCACACTAATATATGTATATATATATATATATATATATATATATATAAATATATATATATATATATAATCAAAAGAAAGGATAAACTTTGCAATGCCAGAATGACCAAGATAACACCAAGTCTTGTTTAATTGTGCATACAGTGACGATCGAAGATCAGATACACTGGTAAACTCCTAGAGCATCAGTACCTTCCAGGAAGGAAGTGGAGAAAAACGAAATGAGAGCTTCTAGACAGAGAAAGTGTCCTTCACTTTCAAGGTTACGTTCAGAACTAGCACATGCAGCTATTTTCTGGCATTTTTCTGGGAAAGGAAATGCACAGTGAAAGTTGGCATTTGATGTCAATGACAGAGTCTCATCATATGTGGCAAACAGGAGGAGTCTGACTTCATGATTCTTGGTATCAAACAGGGGGGGGAAAACCTGTGGATATTATCTACCTGGATTTTTGGAAAGCATTCAACAGTTCCCCATAGGATTCTCATAGAAAAACTGGCTGCCCATGGCCTGGAGGAGGGAATGGTCTGCTGGGTCAAGCACTGGCTGGATAGACGGTCCCAGAGAGTGGGGGTCAGTGGAGCTAAATCCAGCTGGCGGCCGGTCACAAGTGGTGTTCCTCAGGGCTCAGTGTTGGGACCATTTCTGTTCAACATCTTTATTGAGGATCTTGATAAGGACATAGAGTGTATCATCAGTAAGTTTGCAGATGACACCAAGTTAAACGGGAGTGTCGATCTGCATGAGGATAAGGAGGCTGTACAGAGAGACTTGGATAGATTGGACCGGTGGCCAACGTTAACGGGATGAGCTTCAATAAGGCCAAGTGCCAGGTCCTGCACTTGGGCCACAACAACCCCCTGCATGGCTACAGGCTTGGGGAGGTGTGGCTGGAGCTGTCTGGAAGTGAGTGATCTAGGGATTCTGATTGACAAGCGGCTGAACATGAGCCAGCAGTGTGCCCAGGTGGCCAAGAATGCCAACAGCATCCTGGCTTGTGTCAGAAAGAGTGTGAGGGAGGTGATAGTGCCCCTGTACTCCGCACTGGTGAGGCCACACCTCGAGGATTGTTTTGGGCGCCTCAATACAAGAGAGATCTCGAAGTGCTGGAGCGAGTGCAGAGGAGGGCAACGAAGCTGGTGAAGGGCCTGGAGAACAAATCCTATAAGGATGACTGAAGGAGCTGGGACTGTTCAGTCTGAGGAATAGAAGGCTGAGGGGAAACCTCATCACTCTCTACAGCTCCCTGAGAGAACATTGTAGAGAGGTTGGTGCTGGTCTCTTCTCACAGGTGATTAGTGACAGAACAAGGGGGAATGGCTTTAAACTGCAACAGAAGAGGTTCAGACTGGACATTAGGAAAAAAATTTTCACAGAAAGAGTGGTCAGACAGTGGAACAGACTGCCGAGGGAGGTGGTGGAGTCACCATCCCTGGGTGTGTTTAAGGGTCATTTAGATGAGATGCTGGGGGATATGGTGTAGGGGAGAACTTTGTAGAGTAGAACTGATGGTTGGATTCGATGATCCCAAGGGTCTTTTCCAACCTGAATGATTCTGTGATTCTATGAAAAGTAAATTTATTATTACTTTGGGGTTATTTATGACTTTAAGAAAAAAGAAAAGAGAAAAAATAACTTGTTTGTTTACAAGTCTGCATCCCTCTCATTCTCATACCTCTGCTGTAATGTTCTCTCTCTTTCGGGGGTTCAGCTGCCTGCATCCCAAGGATTCAAGGCTGAGCCCAAACACAACAGAGTTACATAACCTTGGCTTAAAATTCTAAAAAAATTGTTGAGTTCAGAGAAAAATTTCTGAGAAAAATTTGTAGAAAGATAAGAAATGAGACAGGGATAGGATGGTTAAAATGGGGATCACTAATGGCTCAAAGATGCATGACTAATTCAAACCAAGAGGTATAAGTGTCTGGTAGAAAAAAATGAAGGTGATCTCACCAACAGAGCTGTTGAAGCAGACTCTTCTCCTGACCAAAGCCTGTCTGGACAGCAAAGACTTTGGGGGTGTTATACAAGGGTGGTGAGCATATTTATTCTCAGCCCAGTTGCTCATTAAGACTTGGCTATAATCTGTGCTAGCCACTATATAATTACTTTGTACTTTTGCTTTTAGCTGTGCAAAATATGTTGCTACAAGCAAGATGCTCAAACAAGTTAACCTAAAGAAAGGAAGAAATAGACCGGTGGAGAACAAGGTCAGCCTCAATTCTTTGTAGTAGGTCCTCTTGCCTAAAAAGTGAAGACTGAAAACAAGATCATCAAGCTGCAACTTTACAGTGATTTTTGGAGACTTCACCTCACTAGATAGGAAAAGTTTCCATTACTGGCAGTTGTGACTTAAACACAGAAATCATTATTTCCAAGAAGTCAAAAATGAAGTTCCTTCCTTTCAGAAAAAAGTTTAGGCATGTGAGTTATTCAGAAGTGACACTGTCCACAGTAGAGTCCTCAAATGATGAGCTTGGAGATGCTGAAAGCATATTACAAGGTTTATTGTCTGCTAGTTTTTAACTAAGGTACTACTGATCAGTATGCATTCAATAGGAATGTGCTGTCTCTTTAAGAAAGTACTGAGAGAAACATCAGGCATTTCTTCCTGTTCTTCTGAAGCTGTCAAACACTCCCACCACAAGTACCCAACAAGGCAGAAAACTCAGAAATTAGTCATGGAAGCACCTTTACTGATACTCTAGAGTACAGTCTGCCCTCTGGCATTTCGAAGGATCTAGAGAGCTGTATACCTGCAGATGACTTGTTTAAACCAGGAATAAACACTGATTATATTTAAGAGATGTATGGTGGCCTTTATATGAGAAGGCCCAGGTCCCAGTTAAACTCCATGCCAGAGCCATAACTATGGTTTACATATGTCAGTAAACTGAGACATGCTTTACAGGCTCTTTAACAGTTCTCTACAATAAGACTGACCATACCAAGACAACTTGATAGCTCCAATTGCTGTTGTACTGTGCCTGTTGTATTACAATGTTTCCACAGATTTAATGACTGCTTATTTACACTAACATGACTTTATTTACTTGCTAGAAAGAAGAGATAGACCCAACTGACAACAAGCAAATAAATAGACAATGAACACAGACTGAGGATCCTGGATAAACAGTAACATTTGTTTGGAACAGTAGCTACAAGAAAGACTAAAATTTGTGACATGAATTAAGTAACCCAAAACATAACAGCTTGTTCTATGGATAACACAGGAACCAATCATCAACCATCAAAACAAATTGCTGATGTCTGCATTTTATATGTTAGAACACCATACACACATAAATGATGTTATTCCTGAAGAGCAGCAATTATTTAATCTCAGTGAAACAATTTTTTTGCATGTAAAGTTATTACAGGAGAAAATACTTAGCAGTATGTACATGAAAAGTCATTTCAAGGAGACAGCCATTCCCATTACTTCAACAGCTGATGAAGATGAAAATGTTTATTGATATGACTGGCCTGTTAAAGTAAAGCTAAACAAACTGCAATGCAAAGTTGCATTATACCCTAGATGAACCATGAGTGCAGAAGAAGAAATAAAAGGACAGCAATTGAAGACTCTTAACCCAGTGGTGATGGCAACTCAAATGGCAGAACTGTAAGTGGAGGCTCAACCTGATACTAGCTTTTAATACGAAGGACAAAGACACCCCTGGTGAGCAAGAGGTAACAGACATCGGGGGTGTCGGGGTGTAGACAGGAAGCGGTTGAGCTGTAATCTCTCCTCCACAACATTATCACATTTCACTTTCATGTATTATTGTATCATAAGCCTAACGTACAGAGCAAAATTCCACAGCCTTGACTTGAGATGTGAGAAAGACCTGTGGAAAAGTCTACAGAATGATAATAACTACAGATAGACCTTAGACTATTCACACAGGATTTGCTGGTAGCTTAAAAGGAGATAAACCCACCACCAAGGAAAAGCATAAGATCCAATCGGGAAAAAACCCCACATGGCATGAAGAGCAAGTGTCATCAGCTGCCATTTGGGTTGTCAGTGTTGGAGTCAGTTAAAGGTGGCAATTCAGCAACCTGGGGCATTTGCTCCAGAAGGCTGCAGAGGCTGACCTTCCTTCTCCAAAACAATGCTAGTCCAAGCCAACCGTGATTTTTTGCGTGTTGTTTCAAAGGTATAGTTATGATTGGGGTGTGCAAGTGTGTTCTTCTTTCTTCTTTTTTCTTTTTCTTTCCTTTACTACTACACACCGTGAAAGGAAATGCAGGACTACATTTAAAATTATATTTGCTAAGTGAACACTCAGAAATATGTAGGGTACTGGCATCTTCCACAAAAATGACATTCAACACTTACTGTGCACACATGAGGCCAGTTCTCAAGCTGACAGAGCACTGTTGTGCCGAGCTCTTCCCAGTACATTTCCCGGTAGATCTGTGGCATCTTTGACACCCAGACACCACTGCTGCACTTGCTCAGAATCTCCTTAATGCGACTTTGAACTTCATTGACATGAGCATCAGAAGGGCCAGAGGCAACACTATGTGTCTCTGCAGTGGATGTATTCAAGTTATCTGTTAAATAAAAACACAGCCTTGAAGTAAACATTGCCTTATCAGTGGAAAGACAGTTGATTACCTACCTACATAAAAATTAAACATGGGAGCTACAAGCATAATACAATCTCTAAAATGTGGCTTTCCTACCCAACATCACTGTTTCTCAGTCACTTTCTATTGGAAAGAGCCACGGAAACCTCAGACATTTAGTAACTGACTTGAAGATGTATTTTCAATCACTATAGTTATTTTCATAAGACATTGCTAAATATTTCTTCTGAAGGGATCCTGGAGGAGATTACAGAACCTTCAGACTCACTGATGCTGAGAGGCTGCACTGAGGTAGCATCCCAAGAGAGACACAAGGTAATTTCTTTATGAGTACAAACACAACAAAGATACAGCAAAACACCCAAGGATGTTCTTCTAAATTCACACAGATGTACAAAACAGACCAATTATTTGCCTTTGATTTTAAGGTATGCCCTGAGAAGTCTGAACCCAGCACCCAGCTTTTCTGTGGTACGGCACCCAAAGCCCTCCAGCAGAGCAGGGAAAGCGACAGCTACTGTCCAGATACATCGGACAGTTCCATGCGTTGTGTGTGTATAGGAGCAAGGCAGTCATTATCCCCGTTGGAGGTTCACTTCACTAGCTTGCCTGCTGCCTCATCTCTACTCCTCTCCTCCCTTTGGAGGCGAGTGCTTGCTACCAGACCTGAAACTTCACAAATCAGGCTGACAGGTCTCAAAGAAAGCAATCATCATTTGACAAAGCCATCAACTGCACAACTGCTGGGAGCCAGGCAAAAAGACAAATATTTTACGGACAGCCAGGTTAGCGTGCTGCTTACTCCTGAAAGCCAAGATTTCACACTTCCTATACCAGATCCCTAGTTAGTGAAGGTAGTGAAGTTAAGAATACTCTCCCTGTTTCCAAGCTACTCACGCTAGCTTTGCAGTTGGCTTTGACACTTACTACACAAGTACTTTCCTAGAAGACAGAGGCATACAAGTAAACACACACATTTCCCCAGCACCAGACAATCAGAATGAGAAGGTTCACTCACAGAACTTGGTTTCTCATTCAAAACAAGTACTAAGATGGATTTTTCTTAAAATGATATCCAATCTAATGTGAGTAATCAACAAAAATTTTCTTAATGGGCAAACATACCATTTGAATCTATGGAAGAGCTTCGGGACAGGTGAACTTGCAACTCCTTTTGAAACCGTGGTGGGACAGTTAGTCTCTTCTCAGACCTAAAATTGAAAAGAAAATTGCTTTAAATCACCCTCCTCACTGTGAATATTATTCCACTTGCTTACAAGACCTATAAATAAAATAAAATGTATTTCACATACTTCTAGCAGGTCCCCTGCACAAGATTAGTACTCACAATGGAAGGCTTGGAAGACAACCTGATCAGCAGTAACAAGACAGATCAACAGGTGGTTTCTACTTTTTTCTTACTATCCTAATTACTATGAAAAACAAAATGCACAGTAAAAAGCCATTAACAAGAGGAAAGCATCCAGGCTTAGTAACACAGTTAGTGGTCTTTCATTTCGTATGTTCAGCCTATTTGGTCTTTTACCTGGATGGCATCTCAGTTTTGCTACTGAACATGATTATGCTCACCTTCTTGGTAGCCAAATCAGAGTCTTCAGAAGTATCCAGCTTCAGAAGTCATTGAATACCTAAAACTACACAGGAACTCAAGGTCTTTTTGTGGATGCTGTTGCTACCCTGTTTAACAGATTCCTCTCCCAAGCGCTCTCCCACAAAAAGGACACAAATGTCACGCTTGCAGGTATTCTGAGGTCCCTCAGAGAACAGCAGCTTATACTGGCAGCACATGCAGCACAGTAAGTTCCTGACAATGAAGAGGTCACAGCAGTGTGCAGCTCACTAAGACCATTTTGGGAACACTCAGATGTGGAATAATTACATGCATTTCAAGCAAAAGGGAACAAGAGTTGAAGAAAGAGTTCAAAGACCAGGACCAAGCACCTCCCAAAGACACATACCCGAGGAAGAACTGCAGTGGAGAAGTCACAGTGGCATACACAGCAAAACAGCTCTCCACAGAAGCACGGCAGGTTGCTGTCAACACCAGGCCATCTCGAGACCACAGCAACCACTGCACATGCACTGAGCAGGCTCTGCAGACGGTCTCTGCCTAAGGGGCCAGTAAGGAGACTGGTCACCTGTGGAGTTCAGGGACAACTCTGGAGGAAACTACAAAATTCACCAAGATTTCCCAGCTTCACCTGGGCTCTCAGAAGGTAGGACAGGGGTCAAGTATGATGCTGAGGCTAGTAGCAACAGGAAGTCGAGACTAACAGTATTAAGGTGCCCTATATGCCTTCACACTGACCTTTAATCAGAGCAGATCCACAAATTGGAAAGAGGCCTCCCACATTCACACCTCTTCAAGCAGGATCTTACAAGGTTTAACATGAATTTTTTTCCCTTGCTCTTTTGCTGTCCCCATAAGATGAAACTACCACTCTGCCATCAGCTGTGGGGTGTCACTTGTACCAAAAATAATACTTCTGTTCTGGGTCACATCCCACAGCATTAGCAGTGAGGACAGCTAGTGCCCAGCACAGCATTTTCCAAAGCAGGAGAGGCATGCCCAGAAGTGCTGAGCAGCAGGTCAACTATAAGCACTTTTGTGAAACAGAAGTGGGATTAGATTCAAAAAACACAAAGCAAAGTAATCCAAATGAAACCCAAACACATATTCACACCTTACACTTGTTGGGTATCTGAAAAGACTCTTTCAACAGTCCACCTGCATCACACGAAAATCCTCTACTTTCTGGGCACAGCTCAGATCCACACACAAAGCACCAGCACAGTCTCTTCTTAGTGTGCGCTGTGACTGGACATGCAGACTCTGCAAGAAACCCAGGATCCCACTTCCCTATACAAATATTTACCAGCATGGACAACACCAAGCTGAACAGATACCCAAGGAAAAGGTCCCTTTAAGGGAAGCAGACTCAAGGGCCTAGCACCATTGTTAGGCTGGAAGCAAAACAATCCCATGAGCTAGACACAAGGGAAATGGAGACTGTCCTGCTACTACTGCCTCCGAGTAGGAATGAATACCTGTGTTCTAATCCTCAGTGCCACATACCATTTCTACCACCTTAAGCCACACATCAGGTGCCAGGGATGACATGAGTGCAAGGTAAAAACAGCAGTAACAGCAGCAAGGTTTCAGTGAGGATGAAGGCAGATGTTCCCATCTCAAACCATGCCATCTTGGAACACTTTGAAAAGGAACCTGGAACAGGTGACTGATGATTCTGTTACGCTGCAAATGAAAGTGGATTGGATGTGGGATCCTCACAATATTAAGAGATGTCATGTGGTATGTTCTGCTGTGGTTCAGTAACTTCCCATAGAACAAAGTGGTGCTAACATTAGCTTTGAGCCCAGTTATTATCAGTTTTGAGTCCTGCAATCAGACACGGATCCTGTGATGCACTACTTGCTCACACAGACCATAGCAGTCTTCTCTCACCAAAGATGGGAACAAACAGCCAGCTAGCAGCACAGCCAACACACTTCGCATCATGCAGGTACAGACAACTCAGCTGCCTGCAGTGACATGTTCTTCAGCTGCTAGAAATTCCTCCCAGCAAGAGGCCTCCTAGCCACACCAGCAATAAGAGAGCACATCAGCAGCCCAGCCCTTCACAAATGCCTGACTAGCCCTGCAGCCCTGCCAAGCCCCCAGGCATGGCTGTAGCTAGGCAGCCAGTTACATTTCACTCCGACAGACCACCATTTCAGCACGAAAGGAAGGCATGCCACTCCTTGCCCAGCACCTTACCTTGGTAAGGCCCATGCCATCCAACTCTGCTTTGGCCCTTGGCAGTGCTATCTCAGCAGTGGGGCCAGGTGGTGGCCAGGAGCAAATGCTGCCTGCTGGTCCAAGCAAGGGGGTCACCAAGCATCTCAACCTGTTCCTACCCATAATGTTGCTTTTCAGCTTAAATGATCTCTGCAGTTAGCCTTACAAGCAAGGTCTCTCCCACCTTCTGTGGGTTTGCAGGTCCACAGCAACACACTCATGACATGAATTTACTGAGCTACTGCTGCTATAAATATAGCATCTCAGACCCTGCAATAGCATCTGCAAGAACGCCTGGGAGGGCAGCAGGAACCAACCTGGCACAACTGCAGCTACCTTCAGTATCTTCCCCTCGTCATCTGGGTGTGACAGAATGCGCCAAAACTACACAGCTGCAAGCCCCAGAAGCTGTAGTCATGAAGGTATCTCAGCAAAACACCACAGAGCCCTAGAGAGGTGTGGCTACCAAAGTCTGCGTCCCAAGGGAACTGCCATTTGCAGTCTCACTGTGTGGAGCACCAAGGCTAGTCAAACGCAGACAAAGCCTGTCACTGGGAGGACATCTTGCCAAGGCAAGTAAGGCAAATATGCGATAGCAGGATGGAGGCTCAACAGAGAAGCAGAAATCAAAAGAACATTAAGAACAACCCTCAGTATGGATGTGGTTTGCTACGATTTCAGCAAATGGAGGGGCAGGACAGGTGTCGGAAAACAGATGCAGAGAAGAACTGCAAACAGAGGGTGCTTCACCTGAGACTGGGAAACAGGTCAGAGACAAGCTCTGCCACCTTCAGGACTTCTCTCAGTCAACCTGTGCTGTGAATGTTGAGCCACTCTCAAGGGCAAGTGCTGGCCCTGCTGCTGGAACAGGGTCCCTGAGTCTGTGCTGGCTACCAATGAGGGTGGTGTGATCCCGGGATTTCTGGGGATAATGCTCATTTGTACACGGTTTTGAGGTCAGGACGTCCTGGCTCAAAGGGGCTTTCCCTCCCACAATTCCTTAAGCACAAGCAACCACAGCAGTTCTGGGGGCACAAAACATCCCCAGCAGCAGGGACATCAGCCATGGATCCAGCCAGTTCTGCTTCAAACTGGCCAATCTGAAACAAAATAATCCAGTCATATGGGTCACTACACAATCTTGCATTAAAACAGAGTATGATCCTCTTCTCCATGAATCCTCCTCCCTCTAGTATGTCCCCACGCTAACAGGACAGCATTTGGACCCTTTGCAATTGCACAAGACGTCTTCTCTTCCAGAACTACTTGAGCCAAAGCACACTTTAATTGTAGCTTCTCCTCCCAAGTAGGGCAGGAACAAACACCAGAAACAAAACCAGAACACTTACCCAAAAAGAGCTCAGGAGAACATGACAGAGAGAAACAAAGATGACAACACAAGATGGGGAACACTTCATTAGAAGAGCGCTGTTTTTATTTCAAGCATTACAAAGCTTCAAGTACTACAAACCACCTTCTGGCCATGCAACAACTAACCTAGAGAGAACTGCAAGTGTTTTTTTGCTCTGTCTGTCATGGAACAAAGGAACTCTGCCTTTCAGGGAAGTTCTATTTCAATAAAATCCAACTCATATGAACACAAAGAAAAGGGAAAGCCTGTGCACATCCGCTCCCACAACTCTTATCACAGCAGGATGGCTTGGTGCTTCTCTTCTCTGCTGCAGCAGCCTCTTTCACAGAACAGGGAACAGAGCTGGTGAAATGTTTTTTCACCACACCTCCACCCAGCTCACTTAAGACCAGAAGATGGGTTAGCTCAGTCCACATTCATGTTGTTAACAGCTGTGGTGCAGACAGAGAGGACCAATCTAGAGTCTCCCTGCTCCTGTCAAAGCCCCGGCCTCACTCCCCTCAATTGACACAAGCAGCATGTCTCTATTCCCTGGCCTCTTCCTCCAAACCTTCCACTTCCTCACACAGCCGCTGCCAGCGCCTCTGGCTTCCTTGCTGCTCCTGCCACTGCTCTCCTCTTGCCCACCTCAGCTTTATAACCACTGTCACCTATCACCATCACTGCTCACCTCTGAACTTCTCCAGACTTCTGCCTGGGAACATTAAACACCCGCTGTGACAGCCCCAGATTGACTGCCCATAACACAAGGAGTGTCTCCAAACCTCAAGAGGAGCCCTGCCCCAGTGCAAAGTCAAGCAGATCCACCTGGCAACCCCAAGGCTGCCTCCCCCTCCCTGGGTCACCTGCCCACTCCACCAGCACGCTGGGGAACTACCCAAAAAGCACAACCAGCAGAGCACTGTCATCATGAAGGGCCCCTTGCGGAGCAGCAGGAAGGTTACGGGTCAGTGCTATCAGCCGCCAGTACAACACTACGCTCTCAGGAACAAAAGCTGAAGCGGCTGCTGCTCTCATGAGTGCTCCGAGCGCATCCACGTCTCCCCCTCTGGCACGCAGAGCCCTGACGCACACGGGACTCACACAGGCGACTGGGGCAGGACGTGCCTCCTTTCTGTGAGCCTTCCAGAAAGAGCAGGCACCGCGGCAGGATTAAGCTGTCCCTCTGCTCCGTGCCACTTCATGGCTACGCCGCTGCGGAAGCGGCACACTGCTGCCATTTCCATTCAATGCAAGGCTGACTTCTAACCCAGGCCGGTGACCTGCAGAGGATTACCACCACAATCACAGCTCCAGCAGACTTAGCGCAGCCACAATGAGGGAGCAGCAAACGCTTTCTCGCCACCATCAGCTGATGGCCCAGGGCAGCCAAAAACAACACAGAAAGAGAAATGATGGGGCAGCAGTTGGGTAAGCCACCAGGATTAGTGTCGCTCAAAGCGGGCTGAAAACCAGCATGTACTGCTAACCCAGCAAAACTGCAGCTCCAGCCCTCGGCTCGGCTCACCCAAGCACCGTCGGGCAGCTGCTGGCTCTGAGCACACCAACCAAGGACACGAACGCTAACGCTGCCACACAGAAGTCAGGCAAGGGGTAAGGGGCAGACAACGAGGAGGCTCAACACGCAGCATCGCCTGACACCCACACACAAACCTACGTCTGCTTTCATCGTGCCCGCCACAGCAGCTCCCTCCCTCCTGGGCCTGGGAAACAGCAACATCCCCACGCACCTTTGGCGTGACACCTTTGGCCAGATTCCTCCCCAGAAGACGTGGGAGCAGGCCAAGAGCACAGCGTAGCTATGGCAAAGGGTCATCCCATCTCCCTCCTGCCTACCAGCCCACATCAAACTTCACCTTCTGCAAGGGCAGGAGCCTGCATTCCCACGTCCCAAAAGCCACCACTGGCACGGCAGCATCCAAGGGCCACCACACTTCACCTCGCTCGTTCACACACGTGTGCACACACTGACCTGTTTACCACAGTGACGTGCCTCTGCATGGGAATTTCTTTAGACGGTCCACTCCCAGCGGCTGGCAGCAAGGCAGACCGAGCACTCTCCATGGTGGGTTTCACCACTCCACACGCCACTCCTCTGCCTCGTGGAGGGCGAGGAACAGGCCTCTTGCTGCCTTCTTCTGGCATGCTCAGAGGCCTGGGCTGTCGCAAAGTTCCTTTGGGCTTTCCTAAAGAGTTTGCAGATGTAGCTGTGAGTAGTGCTCTCCTCAACCCAACCCAGAGAGACTTCAAGCACTGCAGGTAACTCCTCCAGGGAGCCCATACTTTTCCAAAAGGCAGTTAAGAAGGATGCTCTCGGCCACTGTTGTGAGTCTCTGCTACAGCATCACAGCTCGCACCCAAGAACTCACAAACCACAGTCTCCACCGCTGTGCTGCGGCAGGGAAAGAGACACGAGACCCATCTCCCCTTACCCTCTCGGAAGAGCCAGGTACCCGGGAGGTGACACAACAGGTCACGTCGCAGGTGCAGCCCATGGTCAGGCTGCCCTTTACCACCCAATAGCAGCAGCATCTCCCAGAGGTGTGGCACGTGCAGCCGAATTCCACCTCCTCGCTCACCTCCTGCGCCACAGCCCAAAGGTTTCTTCTCTACCCTGGCTCGCAAGCACCCTCCTCCCAAACACCCACCACACAGCAGCGGTTACCAAATAACACCTGAAGAGGAACATGCTACGCTGGCCTTCAGGCCACAATGGCATAAACAAACCCTGTGCCACTTCACTCTCTACTTGCTGGTTGTACCACACCAGTTTTGGTGGGCTCAAACACTTCCAAGGGGTATCGCTGAGCAAGACAGTGAGTGAACCAGTGTGTGTTTACAGTCACTGTCCTTTAACTGACATATGAGTCACCAGTTCAGCTTCCCAGCTAGAAGGTAGACTTCTTGCAGCAGAGCAAGAAGCAGCAAAGCCTTTGTTACAGATGACAACAGGGGAATACAAACAAACTCCAAGACCCACGGTTGCTCCAAGCTGCCAACTCGCAAGTAGATGGGCCTTGCCTGGGCCTGATCCTGGGAAACCCCACTGACAGCAGCACAATGACAGCACAGCAGTGAGGGAACACTGACCCACAGGCTCTGGGAAAACACTGATGCAGTAGCTTATGAAAAAAGGCACAGAAGTACAAAAAGTGACCCCTAGGCATGAGCAATGGCAATCACCGCACTTTCTGCAGCAACAGGAGCTGCTGAAACAAGCATAGATAATGCTGCAGGGGCTCCTTCTTACTGTGAGAGCTTAGCTCATCCCTGACACTGCACAATAGGCCAAGCTTGGCCTGCATCTCAACCACATTTCTCACAGAAGCATGGAGAGGTTGAAGTGAAGCCAGGCTTCCTCCATGAACTTTTTCAAGATCATTCGTGTCTCATATCCACTTACGAAGGGCTTCCTCACTGACTATGGCTTGCAAGCACATACACCCTTGCCAACAACACTCCCTGCTCCCAGAACTCTTCACTGGGACTGCACAACTCATGGCCATTAGTGACACAGTCTCATGGCCAAGGCTGCAGCACAGCAGCTGCACAGTTCTTTCACAAAGACAGACCCTCCACAGCTGCCTGTGGCTTACCTGCCAAAGTGACTGGAGATGTGTTCTTTAGCCTCATTTGGCAGTTCACTTGCCGTCCCATTTTCCGCTTGGAACTTCTCTGCCGGGCCACCAACTGAGCAATTGGCACAGTCTCGCTGCAAGAAACAGCATGGCAAACAACCTGGTTGGAATAGGAAAGGGACAGGGGGAAAAACAGTCAGTCAGGCTCAAGCTCATCCACAGCCCTCAGAAGTACTTGTGACCATGTCCATGCTTGTAACTGCTGGGTCATGTGGGCCTGCAGGAAATTCAGAAAAAGCTTCAGCAGTAGACACAGAACTTGGAGACCTCCCTTTCCTTTTGCAGTGCACCTCCAATCAGCAGACAGCTGGGGACTCTCTATCACCTTCCTACATTAGGTTGGGCCCCACCAGGAAACAGCCTGGTTTCGCACTCCCATCCTACAGGACAATTATCTCACTTTACAACACTGGGAAGCCATGGGCTTCAATCTCCTCTGGGTTCTCCTGCCAAGGCTCACCTGAGGCTCTGGCACCACTCTGACCCTGCTGAGCTGGGCTGCTTCTGCCCCGCTTACTAAAGACACATCATGGACATCCTGGCTGCACAGATCACCCTGCAGGCACTGGGCTGGCCCCCAGCAACAGCCTAGCCTTGGGCAAGGCCACTGCCACCTCCCCAGCCTCTTTAGTGGCCTCTTGCCTTGACCTCCCACTGTCTTACCTCAGCAATGCTGCCACAGGCCACCACTTGAACAGATGCAGGAACCCTGCTTTGGCAATCCCCCAAACCACGTGCCTAGCATGCACTTTGCCTCACAAAGGAAATGCAAGCCCAAATTTTTGGGCCATTCAACTGCTAACATCCTGCAAAGGCAGCCGGATGAGTACTCTGTCAGAGCTCCACAAGGAGACAGGCAGCCACCCAAAAACTGTCAAGTGAAAAATGGGAGTCTGTGGTCTCAGGGCCTCTCTCCATGGGTCTCAGCCATGCTCTGTGGTGGTGGTTGATACAGAGAAATGATTACTTGTTTTGAGATTTATTTACTATAGAAAACTGCATAGCACCCAGACTGTTCTGTAAAATTTTACCAAGCACTACTATTCATCAAAACAAAGCAGTTCACTGTGAAAATCCACCAAGGATTACAATGTTCAGCAAAATATTATACTTTTGTCCTTGAGTAACAGGTGACTAACTAGTTGGAATTTTGCTAATGAGTAAAGATAGCAATATATGAATGGTAGAATTTCTATTGGTTCTCTTAGATGAGAAAGAAAGTAAACCATCTGACAAACAATCTTGTTATTCAAGAAATTGGCCAAGAGAATCTGCACATGCTCCAGGGAAAAAAACAAAGTGAGAAAGACTGTGAGCCTTCCTCCTAAAGACCCCCGAAGACGACAGGAGGCAATGCGCAGGTGCAAAGATGACATAAACTGCTATGTATGTTTGTGTTATGTAACCCAATGAATATGGATAGCCACACTCTAAGTTTTTGGTAAAATGTGGGTGGGGGTGCAAGCTTTGTGGAGAGATCTCCTTGCACCCCGGCACTGGAGTAAACATACCCGCTTTATAACTCTATTTGAGTTGTAGGGATTTTTCCGCGAATCATGGTACCAGGTGAAAAAGGGGCCCTCACGCACAGCACCACTGTCCTCATAAGCATGGTCCCCAACAAGCACAAGGGTTGACAATTCAGCACAGGAGAAACTCAGGGACTTGACCAGTTCCTCTGAAATTTAGCAAACACCAGCTCCAGACAGGAACTTTTCTCACAAGCTAGGCAGGGCAAACAAAGCAGGAAAACAAACAAGTGCCATGACATAAAAAGCAAGGCATTGCTAAGCAGCAACAACTTGCTCAAGAGTTCTCTTCAGTCTCTCAGGCTGACCCAAACAGCCCAGGGAAATATGGGCAACAGATAACAACACTAGGAACAAGGCAACACTCGTGGTGTCCAGCAGTGCACTCCAGCTTGTCCTTCTCCTCCTCCTCTGCACACCCTACATCTGCACCGGGCTGGCTCAACCTACAGCCACTGGAGGGGGGGGGCCCTCTCCTTCCGAGGGACAGCTCTCCCTTCCGAGGAGCTCCTGCTTAGAAATCAGATGGTCTACCCGCTGTGCAGTCAACACCCATGTAGAAAGCATACCAGCAGCCTCACCACTGCAGTGGTTAAATGTAAGGAATCACAGGAAAATTGAGATTGGAAGACATCTCTATAGACCACCTCACACAGCATCTCTGCTCAGAGCAGCATGAACTAGACCTAGCTGCTCAGGATACTCCATCCCTGACTGGACAGTATCTCCAATGATGGAGACTGCTCAACCCTTCTGAACAACTTGTTCCAGTGTTTAGCCACCTTTGCTTTAAAACAATGGGGTTTTTAATGTTTAAATGGAATTACCTGTATTTCACTTTGCTCCTGTGGTCTCTTGTCTGTTTACTGGATACCACTGAGAACTGGAGATGGAGTCTGGCTCCATGTTTTTTTACTCCTTTTAACAAGTATTAATACACACAGGTAAGATCCCCCTGAGCTTTCTCTTCTCCAGAACAAATGGTTCCAGCTCTCTGAGTCCTTTATCAAAGATGTCCCAATCCCTACATCATCTTCACTGCCATTCACTGAACTTGCTTCAGTGTGTCCATGTCTTTCTTGTTCTGGGGAACACAGGACTGGACACAGGTTCCTAGATGTGGTCTCACTAGGGCTGAGTAGAGGGGGAAAAACACCTCTGTCAACATGCTGATAACACTCTCCCTAACAGTCTCCTTTGCTGCAGTGGCACATTACTGCTCACTGGGAACTTCATGACCACCAGAACCTCCAGGAATTTCTTTGCCAAGCTCCTTAGGCAGGTGGTTATCCCCCAGACTGTACAGGTGCATGGGGTTATTCTTTCCCAGCACCAGGACTTGGTATTTCCCTGCATCGAACTTCATAGGGTTCCTGTTGTTCCACTTCTCCAGCTTGTTGAGGTTCACACACCTGTCTGCTTTATCAGCCCCTCCTATCATCTACAGACTTGCTGAGGATGATCTCTGTCCCATCATCTATGTCATTCACAAACATGTTAGGCAGGATTTCCTCAGCATCAACCCCTGGGACACGCCACTGGTGACTAGTCTCCCGATGGGTTCTGTGCAACTGTTATAGGAGACACTGTCAAAGGCCCTACTAAAATTAAGATAAACACATCCAATGCTCTCCCCTCATCCACCCAGACAGTCACTTTATTTTGGAAGGGTATCAGTTTGAACACTTACAATTTTCTCTTCATAAATCCATACTGACTACTCCTACTTGCCTTCTTGTCTTTCACATGTCTGGAACAGCTTTCCAGGATTAGTTACTCAATCATCTTCCCAGAGATTGAGGTCAGGCTGATCAGCCTGCGGTTCCTCAGATCCTCCTTTCCACCCTTTCTGGAGGTAAGGGGCAATATTTGCTTTCTTCCAGTCCTCAGGTACCTCCCATAAATCACCATAACCTTTCCAAGATAATGGCCTTGCAACAATAACAGCCAGTTCCCTTGGCACCTGAGGGTGCATTGCAACAGATTCATGCACTTGTGCACATCCAGTTTGTTTAAATGTTCCTTAGTCTAATCCTCTGCCACTGAGGGTAAGTCTTCCTTGCCCTGCACTTTCCCAGTGGTCTCAGGAGCCCTGGGACTGGGGATGACCAGTAAAGACCAAAGCAAAGGTGGCAATCAGTGCCTTAGCCTTCTCCATGTCCTTTAAGACGAGGTGCCCATTCCCATGCATCAGCAGACCAACATTTTCCCCATCACCCTTTTGCTGATGATGTACCTGTAGAAACCTTTCTTGTTACCCTTCATGTCCCTCACCAGCATCAGCTCCATATGGGTTTTAGCTTTCCTAAGCCCATCCCTGCACATTTGGACAGAGTCTCTGCATTCCTTCCACCCCACCCTATTCTGCTTCTGCCTCTTGCACGCTTGCTTTTAATGGCAGTTAAGTCAGGAGCTCCTCGTTCACTCATGTGTGCCTCCTGCAACCTTGCATTTAAAATTGTCACTTAAAATAGAAACTTGGTCATACAGCAGACTAACAGATTGAGTCTTAACTCATCTTTGTGAAAGATGAACCTGAAAGCCTTAACTCTTCACCCTTTCAGAGCTGTCTGTGCAACATGTGATCCATGGTCTGAGCATGAATTTGACGAGGCTTTAGTGAAATGAAACACAGCAAAGGGTCATAGTTCTTCATTTGCTGTAGCTTCTTCCTTCTAGTTTTTCTGTTGTTCCTGTATTTTCTCCTGTTGTCTGTACAGTTAACCAGGTACTTTAAGGACTTTCTTCAGAAGGAGGAGCTCAGAACTGGCAGTGCTTTGGGAGTTGTTCTGAAGGTGATGACACTCTGTCTTGGTTTTCATGTTGTTGAGCTCATCAATAAGAAATGCAGTCTTTCTTAAACCCATGTATACTTCTCTCTATATTCCTTCTAGGTTGCTTCTCTCTACTCCCACCTCATGTAAGCTTCCGTTTTATGGTTGAGTTTTGTCAGGAGCTCCTTGTTTATCCATGTGTTGCCTCCAGAAACCTTGGGGTTTTTTCCTGGCTTGCTGGGATGGACCACTCTTGAAATTGGAGGAAGCAATCCTTGAAAATCTACTACCTCTCCTGGACCACTCTTCTCTCCAGGACTGCACCCCATGGCTTCCAAGCAGATTCCTGAACAGGTCAAAGTCTGCTCTCCTGAAGTCTTGGCTTGCTGATACTGCTATTTGCTTTATTCCCCTCATTTCAAGCTCCTAAACACCACTTGAACAACACTGCAGTGGTCACTGCAGCCAGAGCTGTCACCAGCCTTTACATCCCCAACCAGTTCTTCCTTGTTTGTAAGAATCAGGTGCAGCAAACCATCTCTACTCATCAGCTCATCACTTGTGTCAGGAAGTTATCATCAGCACATCCCAAAAACATCTGGGCTTGCTCATACTTGGCTGTCTTGTCCCTCCAGCAGGTATGGCAGTGGCTCAAGTCCTCCATGAGGACCAGGGCCTGCAAATATGAAGCATCTTGTAGTTGCTGGAAGAAGGCATCATCTGCTTCATCTACTACTTCTTGCCAATTAGGGCATTTGTAACAGCTAGCCACCAAAACATCACTCATACACTGGTCTGTCCCATAAGCTCTTGCTGTCTCATCATCCATGCCAAGGCAGACTGAGCATTCCCACTGCTCTCACACTGTAGGGTCCCACAGAAACTCCCCCTTGTTGCCATTCCAGCCCATCATTCCTCAACATCCTGTGTTCATCCACGGCAGCACACCAGTTGTGTGAAAAATCACAACAGCTCTCCATGACCTCAATGAGATTGCAGCCCTGAACAGAAAGCAAACCTCCAGTTCCTCATGGTTGTGCCACATGCTGTGGGCAGTCATGTAGAGGAACTTCAGAGATGTGTCCAGCCATGCCCATTTCCAGAGAAGGGTACAAGAGCTTTCCCATACTCTTGGCTTATGGGATGCACATGGGATGGACCACCTTCAGCTCTGCTCTCAAGGTCTCAACATAGAAGACTTTTTTGTTCATGCAGAATTTATCAGTTTCATAAATGCACATTTTAACACCTTTTGTACATTTCAGGGTTTTCCTGTCACTAATGTCATAAGCTATTTTCAGCATTTTCTTCCCTTGTTTTCACATCACAGTGACTTTAAGTTTAGCAAAAATGATGGTTTGAGTTAGAATGAATTCAGATGTAAAAAGAGATGGGGTAGATGAATTCACTTGCAGCAGACAAAAGCAGTCTTCATATTTCTCTTTCTGGCAGAGCCTAGTTATTCATGCAGAAGTAAGCTTTCTTAGAGGAAGGTGCAACCATGCACTGCTTGTAACTGAACATGAAGCAAAGCAGGGTTCTGTGAAATGACACAACCACCTGCTGCAGGTATACAGTATTACAATTTGAGTCCTCTTGCAGTGTTTTCTGTATACTGAATTAAATCCTAATCCTGTGTGGAAGCTGGAGGAACACACCTATCATGTGAAGGAATAATTTTCAGCATTCAACTTTCCTATATTCAAGACGACTAAATCAGTGTTTAGCAGAAGAGGAACAGGGGACAATTTATATCATTGCCTTCCCAAAACAACCAGTATGTTCAGCATCAGTTACCTAGGCAATATTCCATCTCACACAAACCCTTTGATTTAAGGAGCATCTAACATGCAGCACCCTGAGATCAATTTGTTTTATTTACTGCCCACTTTATAGGTTTGCTTATTGAATGTATTTCTTGTGGCATGTCTTGGACAGCTGCCCTAGCAGTAAGGAAGGTCATTTTAGGACCGCCTAGCCTGCAGCCAGGATCATCAGCTGCTAGCAGACCTCTGCATGTGTGAGTGTGTCTTGCTTTCCTTTAATCCCTTTGGAAACAGTGGAGCAAGGAAGAGACAAGGGTCTTAGCAGCATTTTCAGAGGTCAGAGTACTCCCAGAGCCAGGAAGAGAGGGACTGGTTGACTGCGTGTTCTTGCAGCAGGCTTGTCTGGACCCTGAGCTATGCTGTCAGTTTATAATGAAGCTCAAATATTCTGGAGAGATGTGAATGAAGAGCAACGCATTATACTGAAGTACTGCCCAAGTCCTGTATCAGAAAAGCAGTGGGAGCAGTCCCAGGCAGTTACCAGCCCATGCCAGTGCATAACCACACCTCCCACCCTCTGCTCAGTGTCTTCCCGGGGGACACTCTGAACAGCAGAAACAGTAGGGTCATCAAAAAGCACGTGGGCTCGGTCTTTGCATCTGTCCTGTCTTCCAGGTGCTCTCAGAGTGCCCACTCTCAGTTGCTTCAGTCACGCAAAGCATAGTTGGCACTCCTAAACCAAAACAACTCCTGCTCAATTACCTCAAGACTCCTGTTTAGTAGCTTTCTCCTTTTCCACCTCCTAAAGCCACATTCCATTCACTCCTTACAGCTGCCACAGAGAAGGCACCACCTCTAGTGCTATCCACAAGTCCACAAGGCTCTCAGCACACATCGTATGAGAGGATAAGCAAGGCTCTCAAGGAAACGGGAGGATACCAGATTACACCCTGCAAAGCCCTAGTTAGAAACAGATGGATATCTGCCAGAGCCACCATGATGAAGGAGCATTAAACTGCAGCATCGCAGATGTTCTCAGAGGTATTACATTCATGTTACTGATGTAGCTGTAGCCAACACAGGCTTGGAGCAAGCAAAAAAGAACCCCAAAATTGGCTACCTACTGCAAAAGGGCAAATTGTGATGGTTGTAAAAATACAGCAAGGGATCTGCTTGCTTAAAACCAGCCACATTTCCAGACAGCAGCACAAAACTCAGGACACCTCTCATCACACTCCTCACAGCTAACCAAGAAGACCTAGCTCTGAGCTCCCAGATGCCAACCCAATCAGCTGAGCCAACAAGGGACCTTGGCCTTAAGTGCTGTCTCTCCAGACCTGCTGTGACAGCCATACATTGTGCCAAACATCTGCTGGCTTTCTCCTCTCCTACAGTCTACACTGACTTCAGGCACCCAGACGTGGCTCCAACAAGGGACAGGCTTCAAGCTCTCCACTCAAAGAGATCATCTACAAGTCATGCAGCTATACCAACCATCAAGACAATGCCTTCTGACTCAAAACCAGGAACTCCACACTATAGGACAAGGAGGTTTCTGGTCCTGGCAAGCCGCTTCCAAGCTGGCAGCCACCAGGAGACACAGACTAGCGCAGCAAGGTCAAGGAATAAGGGAAAATTCTCCCATCACACTAATAGTCTCTGCTCCACCTTCTTAACTTCTGCGCTGACTACTTGTCCCTTGCACACTCACTAAACTGAGGCATTGCAACTTCTGCATCAAGGCACCTAACTTGCATGGGCTCTACCTCACCTTGGCAAGTCTTCACAGTCCTGCAACTCAATCCAAACAAGACTGTTAAGCCTAAAGCAAGCACCGTAAGGCTTATAAGCAACAGCACCCACAACAGTTTCACTGTAGGAAAGATCACGCTAAACCCCACCCTGAAGAGACGATCAAGACACACACGCAAATTAACCTTCTTTAAGGTCAATCCACCAATATCCTTCCAGAGTTAGAAATGCTGAGACAGGGACCAGAGGCCTACAGTCACACAAACTGTCTTTCCAGACAGAACTCCTGTTTCTGGGAAAATGCCCTGAAACCTTCCACCTCTTGCAAACACAACTTCATGGTCTGCATGCAGAGGCAGGAAAGTAAGGGGCACGTGGTCTGTACTACAGCTTCCACTTCTCCCAACATTAGTGCACCACACACATGCTACAGCACTCTTCTCAGAAATCCATGGCACAAACAGACGTAAACTCATGAACCACGCATGCTTTACAAATACAATAACCATTTCTGAACTGTGACTGATTCTTACCTCTCCCATTTTGTTCCCTTCCATTCTGACCACTCCTGGGATGCTCTCCAAGTAGCTTTCCAGTGTGCCATGTCCTAGGTGCCTGAAGGGAATCCACTCGCCAGTCAGAGATTTGTATTCACCTTGAAGCTCTGACAAAGGTAGGCCATTTTTAAAAGCATGAAGAACAGCTCGCAGTGTTTTTGCAATAAGTTCAGGCTCCTGCATCTTCACCTACACCCCCTTCACCCCAAAAGAAAAATTAAAAAAGCATTTTTACATACACAGGCTAAAAATACCAGCTTTTACTAGTCAACCTCCCTCTCCAAACAAACAAGGATTCAGCGGCTCAGTGGCTCATCTTTGGAGACTTCGATACTTCTGGGTACACTCAGGTACCTGGTCCTGCCAACCAAGCATAAGGTAGTATGAAATACAAAGGGCATGACACAGTTGAAAGAAGCAGCTAAAGTAGCACAGCAGCTCCTGTGCACAGGCTGGCCCTGCCATCCAACCACCACAGACCACCTGGCCAGAAGAGGGGAAGGACTGCCAGGCAATTGGCCCACATGTGGGGCCAGGACTTCCACCAGAAGCAGGCACGACCCCTTGCCCTCCAAGCCCAACGTTGGTACCCAGCGCTCCCTCCCATCCTGCCCCACAGTGACACCAGTTAGCTCACAGCTGCATATTCATCACACAAACCTGCACCCGTGCACCAATGCCCACGGGGCACATGTCAGCTCCTCCATGAAAATCCCATGCACCCAGGCCACACCACATCTTACCCACAGGCACACGACACCTCAACTCCACAGACCCCTCTTCAAACAGAAAACCCAACAGAAATGAAACCTGCTCCCTGCATGCGGTCAGCTGCACAAAGCAAGGCACGCTGCAGAGCCAGTGCCAACACTGCCCCGTCAAACTGCCAGGTGACCACCCTATCCAGAGAAACGTTCACCCACCCTTGAGGTGCTGGTAAAGGCTCAGGCAGTCCACTGCTTCACCTCTAACAGCACCTTTCCCGATGCCACAGGCTGCTAGAGCACTGACAGGACACTTGAGAAAAAGACTTACCTGCCAGCAAGAGCTCCTGCCCGGGAAGGCCAGGCAGCGCAGGAGGCGGTTTCAAAGTGGGTGCCAGAGCTACCTAAAGCCCTCCCACTCCTCTCAGCTCACAGGTTTGTGCACATGTAGGGCTCCTCCAGGGCCACCAGCTACACTCATGAAATGGTGGAGAGCTCCAGGCACAAGTGCTGCTGGGCAGACTCTGCACTCTTGGACAGGCATCCTTCTCGTGGACGCTCACTCACAGCAGGGGCAGTCTCACATGAAAAACCTGCCCGCCATGATCGCTGACCAAAGCCAGACAGAGCTCTCACATGACCCAGGACCAACCCTGATCTCAAAGCATGTGCTGCACAAAGGCTCAAGTTGTGGCACCGAGCACACTTGTATGCTTGAAACACCTCATCTTAACCCTCTAGCAACTAACATGTGACACCAGTAGTCAGAGGTTCGAGAGAAGGCAGTGGTACTCTGCTCAAGATAAAACAGGAGTCCCTCACCTCCAAGCACACAGAGGCAAGCAACTGCCACTTGTGTATCTGTGCACTGCTCTCCAAATGGCAGCAGCACCAGGCAGCTGCTTGAACCCACAGCACTGCTACATGTGACATCATGTAAAGTGAGTCTGCTGCTCTTTGCATAATCAGCCCCTCTCCCCTCACGGTTTCCCTTTTTTAAAGGAAATCATCCTGAGCAACAGACTAAGTCCAAAAGGAAGAGAATCCCAACCCTCAGCACATTTCGGACACTGCGCCACACATTTCAGTCCACACATGAACACTAACTCTATCCCTGCCTTCCTGAACCCAAGTTCACAACAGCCCAACTCAGGTGCTGGGTAAGGAGACACAGCATTAATTCCTGTTCTTCACCATTCCTTGAACAGTTTTGCTTTATGCACACACAGCACTAACTTAACTGTGTCTCTCTGATTCTTACACACAGGTACACCCACACACCTACACCGATACAAACAGCCCTGCACATACCTGTGTTTACACATGCATGGTTCCTTACCCCAGCAATTCCTGTCTTTGTCGGTCCGGCGTGTTTCACGGACTGATCCTGGAACAACCTCTGCCACACCTACCTTCACAGCATGCCCTGCCCAACTACAGGCCACAGTATTACTGCTCCCAGAAGGAGAAGCACACACTGAACACATGCACTTGCACACCTCCAGACAGCCATGGGCAGCAGCCACGCTAGGCATCTGGAACCTTCCCTCGTCCTTTCAGAGACAGCAGCTGGTGAACACAGCTTCACAGCATGCCTCCCAAAGAGTGAAGAGGTGGTGGTCACCTTCCAGAAGGAAAAGATCCAGGAAGTTTGTATCTTCTTTGGACCCACTCAGTGTGACAGGGACATCATGTGCTGGACAAATGCATAAGCGGTTTAAAGTTTCAATTGTATTAAAAGAACATACACCCAAACATTGCATTTTGTTTGCAGTTGTGTTCCAAGGCACATACATGCAAGAGTCATGGAAAAGGTAATAAGAAGCATTACTGGGTCCTTTCTCCCTTTCTTTTAAATAATATACCCAAATCTTTATTATTTTGTTAATATGGCTCTAGAAAGTCCTCTTACCTGACCTATCTGAATAACTTACTGCTCAGGACAAATTAACACAATATCCATTACAGCTGGGCAAAGAGTGATAATGAATAGAATGTACAATAACCTGGGAAGGTAGTCTCAAAAGTCGATTCAAAAGATGAAACTTCAACAGAAAAAGAAATGGGGCAGGGACATGAGGGGATAACAGCAAGCCACCACCAGATAGCTCTGCAGTACACCAATACAAAGGAACTGAGGTAGATCAGAAATAGCAAACAGGGTACCGTAAAATATATCATCCTAAATTGCCTTATGAGGAGCAGTCGTGAGGACAATTCACTTAAACAAGATGACAGATACTAGGGTACAAAGGTTAAACTGATTGCAGTCTTCAACTTACACCTGAACAACATTCCCATTCCTATAGGTAGCAACAATGCAGAAGATTTGCAGTGCAGCAATGGTGACAATAAGTAACACACCGATACATTAACACAGAGCTACATAGGTCAGAGTGGCTTCTGAGGCTTTCTTAAAACTTTTCGTGGTCAACTGTTATGCCATTCACCCAGCAGCTTAGTCTCCAGACGGGACGACATTTCCCTGGAAACAGAGCCCGAGGAGCCTCTACCAGTAAGTCAGGGCACATCGCTCAAATCAGTCTTCTCTAGCATCTGAACAGAAACTTTTTTCAGTAACGGATAACTAGAGTCCAGTTGCAAAACTGACTCCGTGCCGTAGATTATTACTCAGGCTAACAGAAAAAGGAAGTGAGGATCGTTTTCCTGCTGAGAAGGATGAACTCCCCAACAGCCACGCAACCCTGCAGAACACAAGTCTCCTTCTGAAGACAGAAAGTAGTCACTAACCCGCTGAAGTCCGGACACTTCCTCCGTCACAACGGAGCCACTGAGGAGAAGCAACCTCCCGCGGACAGGCAGAGCCTGCCCCACCGCCTTGCCTCTCCCCCAGCCCCTGAGAGCTTACGCCCGGCGGGGCTCCGCCGTTTCCTTACCACCACCTCAACCCAGGGGCTTTCAGACACCAAAGTCTCTTCCCCTGTCGTCGCCGCTGCGGGCCGGGCCGAAGACGGGCCGAGCGCCGCCGCCGCCGCCTCCCGGTGAC